AGGTGGATGATCTGCCTATTATGCGTAACTTCACTCACTCTCAGTCTATCAGAATCGAAAGATGAGTATTGATTCAAATATGCTATGAGTTGATATTTTCTGCTGAGAATTTGAGGCGAGAAATTAGGGCTTATTATCATTTTGAGAAGTGGAGCACAGACCGTTCACAACCAATTTATTCTCCGTGTTCGTGCGTGTGTTGGGTTGGCTCACACGCAGTTCAGGGCGTCACATTCACAATCAATGGCATTATAGAGGGAAACAAATGCTGCGCCATCACAACTTTATTCCTCTTCAGCACTTTTTTAAATACAGAATTATATGATCATCAATACAGCATAAAGGTCCATGTCTTTACCTCTGCCAAAAGGTAGCACGATCTTTCTTCAAAACATTAATTCACTCAGTTCTTTCATACCACAAACAAACTGTACTACTATTCGATTCTCTGAAGAAGGGAGTCTTAAATATAGACAAAATGAGTTTAGTGTCCAACTTATTAATTTTTAGTTACACTTACAATTTTGGGCGAAATCTATTGATGGTCGTTCTTAGAATCCAAAATCACTACACTACTAAAAAATTATTCATGACTTCTAAATTAAATAGAGAACTTTTCGATTTGAGGACTGTTTGATACGAGGACTTTTCTGTACGAGAATTTTTCCGTACAAGGACTTTTCCGTACGAGAACTTTTCCGTACGAGGACTGAGTTGTGATCAGACGTCTTGGCATATCGCGGCGATGAAACGAAAGCAATAAATAGAAATAGATAAAATTTCATTGGTCGCGAATGATCTAGTATCTCGAGTATTCGAGTATATAAGGGTGTGAACAGTCAGTGGGTGGGTTCTGGAGACAGTGGGAGAACCTCGTGCGAATGCACAAATTTGGCGCCACGACGGTGCAGCGGCGAGCAGGGATCGCGAGGCAAGTCACGTGTTGATGAGCTTGTGGAGGACTTTGTGTCCTTGGGTGACTGCGGTCACGTGGGAGCTATGCTGTGTGCGTGTTCCGAGGTGGACAGCATTTTTTTTTTCGTGAGAAAACATGAATATATGCCAAGTTTCATGGAGATCGGTCAAATGGCATGAGAGTTTATTGAACTTGGAAAAACATCCATTCTTGTATATAAATATGTTTATACTGAGGTTCCCTAGTGACACCCCCTCACTTTGTAGGTATGTGATTGTTCTAATAAAAGGCATAGAGTCGCTCTGAGTCAGCACCCTGCCGGCGAGCAATGGTAGAAACCCACGTGAGAAGCCTCAGGAGATACTGAAGCGTCACTTTGGCTGCCCTGCTTGGGAAGATGGCGCGGAAGCTCCTTGTACCTGAGAACTGTAGGTAGCAGCCACGGCGTTGTGGGTGGCAGATAGTTTTAGAGTCAGGTGGACGAGCTTGTACTGCAGCGCGTGTCACGTGACAGTGAACTTCCCTCCAACACTCGACGTTCACGTGGGGATATGCCGCCGACTCGCTCATTCTGGTGGTTGTTTATTATTATTATTATTATTATTATTATTATTATTATTATTATTATTATTATTATTATTTATCTTGTAAACCTCGCGCTTTGCGCAAAATTCACGCCCAGGCTGGTGCGTTGCGAGGGTGACAAATGTTACGAGTGGCGCGGTACGAGCGTGCACTCGAGGTGGGGCCTTTCATGGACATATCCTATGGCGTAGCCATAGGATGGTACGATCGCGGCTGGTGGTCGTAAAATACCGGAAAGTATATACATGGTAGTTCGATACATTCGTGCATTTTGTAAATAAAACTGAATGTACTTTTAATTCCACGACACCACAATACCGATACCTCTGCTTTCTCAGGCTTCATTTTCCGTGAGGAAGTTCTGCCAGCGTTACAGTGAAGCCGACTCATGGAAACTGAATCCCAATCACGGAATCCCTCTTAATATGCGTTTATCAGTGGATGCTCGTGGCTTGAAAAGCCGGTGGTTCACAAAATTAATCAGGGATGGTTTACGAAATACGTATGGCAGTAAGGCCAATATTTCTCTGTCTGCGATGCACTACTGTTCTATACTTTGTGCTGCATGCACTAGAAGCTAGAAATACTTGAAAGCCAAGAATCCAGTCTCTCCTCTGTCGGGTTTAACCGAGTAATATGGCGGTTACCCTGTTATGTAGGATATAATAATTTCGTACTCATTTTAAACGGTTTTTGATATTAAAACATTTATGCCGCTGGACCCAATTTGTCACTGCCTTTGTGAGGAAGATTGCCCACCTGTGCCTTTCTCTGTCCTTCGGGATCGTGCCTTTGTCCCACGGAGCACGCGGCGATGCAAAAGCGATCTTAATGCCTTTCGATTGGCTTTTTATCTGGCAGTAGCGGATTTTAGACACTAGATAGATAGGTCGAATACAGGATCGGGAGAGGTAGTTCAGGGCATCGACTGATGTGTCTGCAGTTCCTCTGACCGCGAGGTCCTAGGTTCGAGTCCCGACGCGGCAGAATTTTCGACACTGGCTACGTCGAGGAGAATTTTACCGATCGGCTGCTCTGATCGGTAGTTTTCCGGAGATTCTCCTGTCCCCTCCAGGCGAATGTCGGATCTTATTCTCCACAACGAAACACGGACCGCGCGCGATCTTTCTTTCCCATTCCTTGTCCTGTCCTACTCCTTACTTACACACACGTACGTGCACTACACAACCACACATACCCGGAGATCGTACGGGAGCTGTGAGCTTGTCCTGGCTTGGGTGGTGTCCCGCTGGTTAGAGATACCGATTGGGGAAAAAACCACTAGTGGACGGTTGTCCAAAAAGTGTAGTACACTTACGGGACTAAATATCTTAGCCATTTACGCTCCCGGAATCATTGATGAATCAATCGACTACAGCTGTTGTCTGATGGAGATTCTGGCGGTCAACTTGCCAGGTTGGAATATTTTGTGGTTTCGCTGATCAATACCCAGCGAATGCCGGGGCAGTGTCTTAACAAAAGAGAAACGGCCGGTCCGGATGGCCGAGATCGTTAAGGCAGTAGTGCCGTAGCGATATCGGTCCGAAAAGGATCGCGGGTTAGAGTTTCGCCTCGGGCGCGGTTGTATGATTTTTCATTAGCCACCTTCATTAACTGAAAATTCATTATCTCTATTTGTTAAAATTCATGTAAAGAAGTTGAAAAATGTTCATGATAAAATGAATTATACAGGGAGTTCCCACCAACTGTAGGCCACCACCACAACTTCGAAATGCAGTTTTTGCTCAACAATGTGGAATTGTGGGGCATTTAATATGGTGTATAGATATTGTTTGAAATATTTGTAATTTTTGAGATATCTAATCATCTTTGATTATTTAAATGAAACCATTTTTTCTCACTGGCAATAGGTAGAGCATAAAAAGAGGAATACAAATATGTTAATGTTTTGATAGTATTATGAGTACGAAATTATACATTCTGACTTGTGAATTTAAATTAAATGTATTATATTTTCTGAAGAAGCTCTGGCAACTGTTGCTTTTGGGGAAGGTAGCCTTAGCGGCCAATCGCTGCAAAAGTGCTGGCGCCATGAAGATAGAATCCCAAAAGTACCTGTTGCAAGAGTTACTACAGGAAATCTTGTATGTTTTCATTAAAATCACATGTCAGAAAGAATAATTTTTAACTGAAAATACTATCAAAATGTTACCATATGTTCCATCATTGCATTCCTCTTGTTATAATCATGCTAGTGAGAAAAAATATGGTTCTATTTAAAAAATAAAAAATGATTAAATTTCTCAAAAACTAAAAATATTTCAAACAATATCTGTACACCATATTGTATGCCTCAAGATTCTGCATCGTTGAACAAAACCTGCACTTTGATATCATGAACCATTTAAAAGTTATGAGGGTGGCCCCTAGTTAGTGGGACACCTGTTTATCAAATAATATAAATCATATATCAAAATTATTTACTTTAATTATATAAAGAAATGGAGTTGTAATGGAGACTCATTGTTAATACTGTTTTAAAACGCTTCTGTCAGTAGTTCCATACACATCTTGATTTAAATAGCTAAAACAGAACTGGTAGACAGAAATAGGTAAAACAGAACTGACAGTATGGTGCTGTCTTAAAATGGGAAATGTATTTTTATTACCCACTGCAATTCATTCCTACTAACAAACAAAGAAACAAACAAAAAACAAAACAAAAAAATTGCTCTGAGACATGATTTCTACTTTCAAAGTTTGCCATAGCATTGAAAAAAATCATAAGATTACATATTGAAGTTCGTTTAAAATATTTGAAAATTCACAAAATGGATTAATATTTCATTTACCTCAAACAGTAAAAGTGCAATTTTTTAAAATTATTCTTATTATTAGTATAAACTGTAACAATTTGTGCCATTGTATTATGGGGAGGCTGTTGCTGCAAGAATTCCCCTCTTGTTAACATATATATAGTGGACAAAGATTCAATATTTGAGTAACTTTTGGTCAAACATTTTTGTCAAATCATTTTTGTCATTCCGAGCCTCAATTGTATCATCACACTTTGGTAATCAATGAAAATACCTAAATAAAACTTCAAAAAGAAATCCAGTGATTAACCTTTAAAATAACATTTCTCAAGAAACTCCTGATTTAGTTTATTATACAACTTTTTTATAATGGCATTGCAGATCATAAAAACCTATAATGAACATTATTCTCATTAGGAATATTTTTTTAATACCTTTGCAATAATTTGTTTTCCATAATCGCGCCACAATTTAAACCGAAGTGAATAACAAAAGCGAGTTAGTATGAAAAATTATGAATGCCAACTGAAGGAACGTACAAAATTACTGTTTCTTTGCACATGTATTTTAGTCGTGACGTTAATCCTGTTTTTCGCAACAACCCCTAATGAAGCCAAATTTTGCAATTGCCTGAATATGCTATTCTTCAAATGTATTCTAGTGTGAAATAATGTCAAATTTGAAAAACAATCTAAGCCTTGATATATGTTGGTAAACTTGCCCTTTCGTATTGGTGTTGGTATGTAGCGTGCGGTGTGCTGCCAAGTTGTATTCGTATGTTATCGTGTGAATGGTATCGAGTAATACATTTTAATTTGCTAGTGAATGAATAATCAGAAGGCATAGAAAATGCCTTCTCGAACTGACTATGAGGATTCAAGTGATGCGGAATCGAATGGTAAGCATATGTCAACCCTGGCAATCTTAAGGTTGAGGTTATGTGTTACTTATATTTATCTTTTGTGTTTTAGCCAAAGATTCTGGTTCCGACTCGGACAGCGGCGACCAGGGAAGCGGTTCTAGTCGCAGTAGCAGCAGGAGCGGCAGTCCTGTGAGCGCTCAGGGCAGTGCTCCAACACCAGGGCGTAGCTTGGGGGACGACGGAAACTCCGGCAGTGACAGTGACGGCGGAGCCAAATCAGCTCGTAGCGCATCTGTTACCCCGGCGCGCTCGCAAACCAACGAAGGTTACTCGTCGGGATCGCCTTCGGACGGAGAGGGATCTGCAGCCGCGTCCGCAGCAGGATCGAGATCGCAGCGATCCAGAAGCGGTTCTGGAAGCGCGCCCGGCTCGCCACAGTCAGCCGTCTCCAACAGCAGCAGCCGGCGTTCGGCGCGATCGCGATCGGTGGCTAGTCGTAGTAGTCGAACTAGCCGCACCAGCCGTACCAGCCGACGCTCCATCTCCGCCCCTCGCTCTCCTGATGGAAACCAAAGCGACCACTCCCAAAGTGCGGGTTCGCGAGAAGGAAGCCCAGAATCTCGTGCAGACAGTGGTGGATCTCGGGCAGGAAGCCCATCTTCCCACCCAGGCAGTCCTCAATCCCACAAATCTCAAAGTTCACGTTCACATCCACAAAGTCCTCATTCTCAAGCCTCTGGCAGTCCACAAGCTTCTGGTAGTCCTCAAGCTTCTGGAAGCCCTCATGCTTCAGGTAGTCCGCAAGCTTCTCCCCGTTCAGATGCAACTGGACCATCTCGCAGATCTGGTTCACATCGGTCTGAGTCTCCAGAAAGCAATCATTCACGATCTAGATCAAGGTCACGATCAAGATCAGGTTCTCGCTCAAGATCTCCAAGTCAGGAAAAGGCAGCATCAGGTGATGGACATAAAAGTGATGATGAAAAGAGTCACTCAGGTTCTGAACACTCTGACAAAGGTTCTGAGAAGGGGTCAGATAGAGAATCTGACAAAGGTTCTGAAAAGGGATCGGATAAAGAATCCGAGAAGGGATCAGACAGAGAATCTGATCATTCACCGAGGGGGTCAGATGATGAAGACAAACGCTCAGCTAAAAGTGATAAGAAAGATCATTCTGACCAGTCGGGTAAGATTTCTATTGCCATGAAATATAACCTGTATTGCTGTAAATAAGCTAGTTAGATCTAGAGGCTTTGATTTACTTTAATGTGTTGAATATGAATATTTTAAATTCCTAGTTCAAAAATATGACTGGTGAATTAGTGAAAATTATTAAAAATATTAAATGCAACTACCTTTGTTGTGACAAAAATATATTTGCAAATACCATGTTTTACTGACTTACAATATCTGATAGTATATTACTTTTCAAGTTGATCTGACAAAATTTTCTTTTCATGTTAATTTGATCCACTTGAAGCTTTGATCCAAATAAGTGTATTTACAATTTATGGATATCCATTATTTCATGAAAAATATGATTTGCAAATGTTCTAATGTAGACTGTTATTCAGCCAACAGTGTAATTGTTTAAAAATTATTTTTCAGGGATGAGAGAAGGGAACATTAAACAAATGATATGTTCATAAGATTTTTCTCTTTTTGGCAATCTTGGGTATATATAACTGGATTGTTTTCCATGCCCTTGAAGAAGACATGATTCTTTCGTTTTTACTTTTTCTTCTTCGTGTTTCTAGTTTTATTTACATAGATTTTGGATATATTTAACAGGTGATGAAAGTGATGTAGAACGGAAATCTGTGAAGAGAAAAGCAGAAAGTAGTGGGGATGAAGGTGATAAGAAAGCTGAAAGTGATGCTGAGAGCGATGATGACAAGTAAGTTAAAAAATAATTTACTACTGGTGTAAAAAAAATAATGCTTGGTTTGAATAGATGTAATGCATAGAAATTAATTCAAATATTAAAAGCATTTACTGTAACTCAACTTCAGATACAACTTAATAATTTTTGGTATTTTTGAACTATCTTTTGCATGTTATTCTTCTTTATTGTTTTACTGCATTTATGGTGTGAATTAAATGTAATTGGTTGAGAATATTTAATATTGTTTAGAAATATTAATTATTTTGAATGTTACAATTGTGTTTTGTCCAGTGAAGATATATTAGGAAATCATGCAGGTAGAAGTATATGATAAAATTAATTCAGAAAATTTACAAATAAGCTGAAATATAACTGTAACAATTTCATGGCAATTTAAACTAATGAAAATTATGCAATAATTATCCATATTATTAAAGTTGTTGAAGTATTTAAGTAATGAAAATATACTGTTGCTAAACATGACAGACTTTTGGAAACGTCACTCAATTGGGTGAAACGGGTGAGGGCTTCATAGACATGGATAATTTAGCTTATCTTCATTGAATTTTACAGTGTTGTGAAGATAAAGTTATCAGAATTTTAGGTTGAAAAAAAACAAACAAAAAGAATATAATGTATTTCTTAGAATATAATATTTTTAACAATGGTATTACTTGTTTTGCAATATATTTTAAGTTTCATGTAGCTATTGTGTTAATTATTGTGTCTGTCCTGTGTTTTGTTAATCCTAAGTATAAACAAAAGATAGAATATGAAAAATGTTTTATAAGTATTATATTATATTAAATCAGGATATGTTTGAAAGAGAGTGTAAATATATTTCATAATTTTTCTCCAAAATTTGGTTGTACAGTAGTGCCCTCATTCTGATATTCTTTAAGAGTGTTATCAGAAGATAATTAAAGAATCTAATTTGAGGAAAAGCTATAAGTTGTAGTTTACTTCTCAGTATTTTGAACTTCATTTTTTATTAACTACGCAAGTTGTTTTTTCTACAAATGTTCTCTTGTATATGGAACTTTGAAAGTAAGAATTTCCTTTGCAGAAAACGAAAGCGAGCTATAATAAGTGATGATAGTGGTTCAGATGCTGAATTGAAACATAAACCAAAAAAGCGTGGAGCTGCGAAGGTAGCAAGTGATGACAGTGATGCTGAGGAGAGACCTGAGAAAGCAGGAAGTGAAGATGAGAGCGGAGGAGAAGGACCCTCTGGTGAGATCAATATAGCAAACTTAATTTGCAGGCTTGTCAATGTGAAGGAAAAGTACATGTCATATGATCCTAAGCAATAAACATGTTATTAAATGAAAAGAAGTATTCTTTGAATTTTCTAGGCAATATTCAGAAATACCCAGAATGTTTCTTATTAATATTTGTACTATTGTTTAAGCACATTCTCGTTATTTTATTAATACATTTCATTTCTAAGATTAAAAAATTGTCCTTTCCAGGATAATTGCATTAATTAATAAAGCTATGAGCAAACAAATATTAGTAATGCTGCAAATATGAAAGCAATTATTCTGTATTTCACTTTTTATTGGTGTTAGTGTTATTATTGTTTTTGTCATTTTGATTTTTAATTTTTAGATGCTCACAAATTATTAGGTTGACAAGTTAGTAGCATTTCTGTTTAAGAACCAAAGAACATTTAATGAACTGCTCATTTCTGAAGTTAATATTCATTTAAGATCATAGATTTGCAGTCTATATAAGCTAATTTTGATAATTTAATTTTTTGTTAAGAACTCAAGAAATTATCCTCAAAACGTTTTATATTTTAATTTAAGGAAAATACTTGGTGTAAATCCCAACTGTAATACAGTGATGGTGGTATTTGATTACCTCACCATATAATAAATAGCTATTATAAGTTATAACATTCAAAGTTCTTTGCCATTATTGTACATTAAATGAAAGTCCATTCTTGCAAAATGCAATATCCAAATGTAATAAAGTATTGTTTGGAGAATTAAAAATGTCACCAGGCTTTATTGTTCTCTTCTCTTGTGTATCTCAACAAATGTCTTTTCCAAATCTCAGATACCTTCTATGAAAGCAACATTTAACAGTGTGAAGTGCTGTCTGTGTTGTGATAATACATAGTTTTACAACAATATATAGATAGCTGCGAAGAGGTTGTTTTTGGAAGGTCTATTCTCACAAATTACTTTATCAGTTTGGTCTAAATTTTAACTACATCGTCCCAAGCCAATGAGCCAAGAATAAATATATCGATGTACTATAAACTACAATTAACATGAGGTTACATAATAATTCTTAAATTTCAATGTTTTAAATAGGGGTATACAATTAATTGAATCATTAAAAATTAACAACTAATAGATGAAAGTCTCAAATCTTGATTTAATGGAGATTTTTGTTTGGAAGCATGCTTTAAAAACTGGAAAGTATCTAGAAGAATATAATTCATTAATGTTTGAAAATTACAGCGACCGCGGAGGCTCTCTTTGGGGATGCAAGTGACATCAGCTCTGACGAGGAAGAGAAAGCAGCAAAAGCTAAGAGAACTGCCAGTACTGAGGATCGTGAAAGTGGAGCTGAGAGTGATGTAGTAGCAGAGCGCAGAGATGATGACGATATGGAAATAGATGGAGCTGAAAGAGCAGAGGCTCAAGAGGGAGAGAATGTAAGTACACAAGCCTAAGATCCTACTTCTAATAGAGGGGAGAGAAATATCATGATTTTTTTTAATGATACATTATTACGTGATATGGCCTTTGTTACTGAGCGTTATGTACACTGTAAAACTTACCTGGATCGAGAAGATTGTGGTTTCAAAAGGAATGATGAAAACATTAGAATTGCACTACATGTTCTTGAAGGAAGAGAATTATAGGATGGAAATGTGAAAAGATATGACAATCCAAAATCAAAATTATAAACCATGTCACTTTAACATCTAGTTAATTAGTAATTTAGTAAATCTGAATCATTAAAATTAGAAAAAGAAAAAAATATGCACCACAATGTTTACTGGTTCTAATCATGCGACAAAAACCCCTTGTGCCAAATGCTCTCAGGCTTTTTGATGCTGCTTTGATCATTAGTATACCCATATAATGACTTGGAGCATAAAAAACTATTTTTTAATTTAAATAAAAATACTATGTAATTTGTAGGTGAAGTGTATAGGGGGCCACAAAATGTATAGTATGTATGTTACATTCATAAATTTGAAATGTGCTGCTTGTCTTTCATTGATTAGGAATTCACAACTGTTAATCAGCAACTTCTTATTGTGGTTGCAGTAATTTTCATTATGAAAATGGTAAATAGTAGTAGCTTGATTCATGTTGTTATAAAGTTTGAATTTATCCACTCTCATGACCACTTTGGTATTAGCTTTAAATGTCACTGCTTCCCACTTTTTGAGTGTACAAGTTGAATGTTGAAGATGGAATCTTTGTAAGATTCTTGTTTATTGTTAATTTTGTAACACGTCTGTAAAAAATAATAGGATTCAAATTTTGACATTAAAATTTTCATGATTAGTATTTTATGTTTCTTTAATTACACTTGTGTAAGTGTGTATAATTGAAGTTGCCATCAGAGGCTAAGTCCGTAATTTCTTGGCCATGTTTCTCTCCCATTATCATCACTGTTATTTTATTTCTATATTTTATGTGCTTTAGATTGTGAACAACCAGTTGACATATTTTTCTATATTTTCTTAGGAGGAAGCAGAAAAGGAGAATGAAGAGCCAATTCCAGAGACAAGAATTGATGTGGAAATCCCTAAAATTACATCTGATCTTGGACGTGAAATCCATTTTGTAAAACTGCCAAACTTCTTGTCTGTGGAGACTCGACCCTTTGACACTGAGACGTATGAAGATGAAATAGATGAAGAAGAAACCTTAGATGAAGAAGGTCGTGCTAGGTAATATGAAAACATATTACATTTTTTTCCAATATTATATCAACTTTTGAAAAATTTCTTCGTATATCTTGAGTATATGTGCATAATTTGATGTAAGATATAGTTCTTTTGAAAAATATTAATATATTGAAATTGTTTTGCTGCCTTTTACAATAATCCTTTTGAGACATTGGCTATCAAAACCACCACATTTGTTGATTTACTGATATTCCCTTTTTTGCATTGCAAAGGTTGTAACACGTTAAAAGTTGCAACAAAGTATGCAAATAAATGTGACGATACATATTTTGTACTTACTACATGTTTTTTACTTGTACTTGTTCTTCCGAAATTTCATCTCTGATTACTGCATAATTTTATTTTTTATTCTAAACAATATCATCAAAAATTGTTTGTAATTTTTTCATTTTTAGACATTAACGCTTAAATTATTATTTGTTCACACCTAATTGATAAGTATTACATAAAATGTCATGTTTCAGCTTTATATGGACAAAAATTTTTTGAAAACTTGTTTATTGATTGACAAAAAAGGGAAAAGGATACCCATGTGTTCAATATTCATATTTTATTTTGTTTTCGTGCTGTATGAATGCTACGTTTCAGAAAAACCTTTTGTGTGGTTTTGTTCCACATTTTTGCTTTTTCAGGCCACAGATGGTTTATATCTTATTGCCTTTGGTAGTGTTTCTTCCTTAATTCATTTGATGTAGGTGACCTACATCTTCCCTACTCTTATCTACCCTCCTGTACCTCTTCTGTTGTATGTTTTTGTTTTGAGGCTTTTTTTGATGCCCTTACTTCTTGGTTAGTCTTTCAAGGGAAATCTACATTCTTTATATTTGTATTATATATAAGAAATATAGATGTGATTAGTTGTTGTTCTTTTTTTAATTTGCTGCGTCTTTAATTGACGCAACATGTCTCCAAGCCTTGCGGGGCATTAAGTGTTTTGTGCTTCCGGAGTAATTCTCCATTAATATTTCAACATATCCATCACGTCACATCTCATCGTAGTCAGTTGTCAAGAGGACTGCGAAGTAGCATCTCTGCGTATGTGCGTCTTATTACGCACCCCTGTGTCACTACTCAGCATCCAGAATTGGGAAGGAATAAGGATTGGGGTAGGGTTTAGGACACTTCACAGGGGTTGGACTAGCCCTGTGAACCATGCAAACTCGCGTTGTGGTAAGAAATTTCACGAGAGGTTTTACAGGGATTCTAAGGGAACTTCAATGGTAAAAGGCAAGCGTCTTCGAGAGCGAACCACGAGAGCAGTTTTTTCATTTTATTTGTAGGAAAAAAATTGTCCAATTGTAAAACTGGGTCATCTTTTATTGAAGTCAATTTTCAGGAACTAATTTTAAGTTACAAGGACAAGATGTCTTCTTATGCTCAGGTAAATTTGATATGTCATTTATATCAAACTGTGTGTATATCAAACTGTGTGTTATATCAAACTGTGTGTGGTGTGTTCCCTCATCATTGATATGCCGACCCAGCCATCCCGGTACCACCTTTGGGCGGTCCCAAGAGCCCAGCGGTTCTGACACCCTAAGCAGAGGAGATCAGTAGATCTCCACTTCGGCTGGGTCTATGCCCTTCCACATTCTGATGATTTCCGACAGTTTCATTTTTCTCAGCTGAGAAGGATCAAA